TGCCTGAAGTTGCTGATAAAACAATGGGGTCAGACAACACAATAACTCCAAGGGTTGCATGTGGGTTGTTTTGAACCATGGGTTCCTGTCGAACCATGGGTTGTTGTGTTGATCTCAGCTGACATAACAAATCAAGTTGAACAGGCTACAGTACACAAGCCTTGGTTTGTTCTGTTCATGTGCAGTTTATGCTTAACATGTCATGGCTTGTTAGCACAGCTGTATTCAGATAGCACAATAACCCACATCTGCACAACAACCTACAGTTCAACATCCATTAAGTGTGGGTTACTTTGTTGTCTGATTCCAGGTTCTGTCTTAGATTCTAAGTGTTTGCTTTGTAAACAGAAATTTCCATTCACCATGCAGAATTCCACTCACTGAGCAAGAGTGTAGGGACACAGGAAGCTGCTTTATACATGTTCAGATCATTTGTCCATCTCTCACAGTTCTGCCTGCTCTAACTAGCAGTGTTTCTCCAGGTTCTCAGGCAGAGGTCTCTGGGCTTCTCGATGCAATGCATTTATGGCACACTCATGTTTCCTTATTCCTGGTAGCTTGCAGATGCTTTACATGCCCTTTTCATCCTACAAGGCTTTTCTTGAGCTTTCTAAGCATTTTCATGGCTATTTTTAGAATGAGGAAAATGGGATATTAAATTTTCAATACAGAATAAATAGGAATGAGAGAGTCATATAATTTTCAGTTCTGCTACACCTTCTGGTTTTATAACAGATCATATAAAAGGCAGAGAAAGAAAGAACACTGGGGAAAAACGACATGTGAATGAGCCAAGTTTAACCCCACAAAGACTCTGGAAGCTGAAGCTTAATCAAAGTGGCAGGCTACTAGCTTCACGCAGAGAAGCCTTTTCATATCACTTGTTGTTTTCAACTTGAAATGTCAAGGATTCAACCTTGTACTTTCTACGTGCAAAATATTTGCTCTTCCTTCCTATAGCATTTGCTGCTGTTCTTCTCTGAAGTACTCAAGGCTATATTCTGCGGATATTAGCCATATGATTGCAACTACTTCTGTTGTCTAACAAAAACTGCAGTTTTCATGAGAGTAATATAGGACAGGCTTTAGAGTTTCTACTTAGCAGTTGTGGTTACTAAGATAAATGGACTAGCTGATAGCCAACAAACTGGACCTCAGTTCAGATAAGACCGACCCACTATTAACAGGAAATAAACTAATTTTCTCAATCCCGATGGATAAAGTACAACCAATCCTATATAGCTGCACTGTATCTGAACATTAAGGAGTGGGTACTTAATTTGGGGTTACTCTTGGATTTATTATTGTCACTTGGATCTATTATTGTCATTGTCAACTGGCCTTCATCGCCCAGACTGCCTTGCATCAGCTTTGGTTGGTGGCCCAGCTTCCTTCCTGTCTAAACAGAGATAGTCTCACTTCAGTTGTCTACACTTTGGTAACTTCTAGGTTAAAACACTTAAAGCTGAGCTAACTTTGAAGACAGTATGGAAACTGCAACTGGTGCAGAATATAGTAGTGACATTTGACTGGAACTAGGTATTCAGAACATAACATTCTATCTCTAGCCCACCTGCACTGGTGGCCCTGTTTCTCTTTTCTGTGGTAGCCCCTTCGTTACAAAAATGTTCTTCCTAAGGGATTCAACTTGAAACCAGCTTTGTCATCTTTTAGGCAACAGGTGAAGAGATACCTTTTTCCAGGCAGTTGGATAGTTTAATAGCTTAGCTTTGGTGGCTACTTTTGTTCACTCTTGTACTGCATAAGGGGTTTTTTTGTTCCTTGTGTCACAATTTTTGCAAATTGTTAAGCTTATAATGAATACTTTGTTATATATTGTATTTTGTAGTTTTTGTTGTATTGCTTTTCCATAAATTCCCTCAGGAGCCTTTTCTGTGTGAAGCAGTACATACAGATAATAAAGGAATAAACTAATTTAGAGTGCAAGCGTATAGCTGCTAAATGCTGTGGTCTTAGGAAAATTTTGAGTCCCAACTCTGAAGCCAAAGATGGATCTCTGATATTGGAGTGTCCTCCCTCTCTACTCTTTCATCCTGTATGATTCTTCCATGCTGGTTGCAGCTGTGAAGTTGCAGGTGTGACTTTGGAGCTGATGCTCAGAGGGCTGTTCTGAGGAGACAAGTAGGGAAAGAGTGAGGTTTTGCTAGGGCACAAAAAATTCCAGCAGTGCCTCAACCCTCCTTAAAATGAGTACGCTTAAAAACACTTAGATGGCCAAAATTGCCATTTAAGTGTTCTAGAATGGTCCTTCTGCCTTCCATTGGATGCCTGTAATCTTCTGAATTTGTTAAGCTATGGTCAGCTACATTGGGAGGCTCTCCCTCTTGATGTATTTGCAAAATCGATATAATTGCTGAACTCACCATAAAAGTTTTGTATTTCAAAAACCCTGTTGTGGTATCCCATGTGTCTTTCAAGCTTTGGTGCTCTTCAGAATAGAAAGGGTTTATTTACAGGTGTTTTTAGCCACTGAAATATGGGACCGACTTAAGAATGGTTTAATTCCTTTACCTTTTAAACTCCTGCTTGAATTAGAGAGGCAACACCATTTAAAATGGGTGAAAATAATATCTCTTACTGAATGTAGCCTCTTTGATAGTTAAGGAAATGATGGTTAAGTACTGGATCCAGAATGTTGAAGTGTTGGATTGTCCTTACACTTTCTAGCACTGAGAAGAAAGTTTAATTGTAGACATAGCCACAGGCCAGGGCCCTACACACAGTCCATTTCTCAGTGTTCACATGAACTTTTTCCAATGTTAATAGTAATTATAAATAATTGGAAAAGTTATTTATTGGAATAAATAAATAATTAGAAAGGTTCCTGTGTGTGCAAGACTGCAGTCTATGCATGCTTTTGAGATATTTGAGAACCACTAACAGATTTCAAGAGAATCATGTTGATTCCTAAATCTTAAAATGGTTATGATTTGGAACATGAGGCCTTCCACTGTTGCTGTAACTAGGATTAACTGTGGTTGGAATAAGCCACAACAGATCTTGGGTTCATATGCTCCCCCTTTCCCTTTCTTCATGGTGAGCCCCTTTCTCCACTTCTCTTCTCTCTGAGGAGATAAGTTTGTGCTCCACTTTTCATTATATCTTGCTATTTTGTCTAAAACTAACAAATTGTAGTTAATCTTAACTAAGCTTTGTTTAAAACAAGTGAACTTCAAACCATGGATCTGAAAATTAGTCACCATGTATGTGATTATTTTCTTTTTTAAAAAAAAAAGCAAGAACTTCCAATCTCCTCATGGTTGCCTTGGAGTTGAGGGGATGAGTCATACACAAGCTCAAAGCTCACCATGGCTCATTCTTTTCATAATGAACCATGGTCTATTGTGATGTCTGAACTGGTCCTTCGAGAATTTGAACAGTGTTGCAGTTCTAACAAAAGGGTATAATTTCTTTAATTAACCTTCAGCCAATGTCTCAGCTTCAAAGGTTGAAAGTATATGTTTGTGAAAGATATTCATAAAGATGTTGCTAAAATAGCTGGGTAATGTTTTCTTTTGTGGCTAAATATATTTCACCTGGAACGAAGAGCAAACACTATCTCATTCCAGTTGAAGCAACCTTTCCACTTTAATAACATCCTGAGGCATTTCAGTAATCATCGTCTCCTACAGCATAATTGGTGCCATTTCCTATAACATTTTTGTGGCATAGTCCCATCTTCACGGTCCCCTTCTCCTTCTTTCCTGTAATGGTCCTTCTGTTAATGCACACAATTTTCTAGAAGGTAAAAAGTACTTGCAGCAGTTTAAACATTAGCCGATAGTGGTTGTGACTAAGCCCTCAGGTTAAATAAACATAGCTTTCTCTTGGCTGCAAAAGATTTCAGAATTGACTGGTATTTAAAGGCAACTTTTAAAATTGATTGACATAAACAGTGGGATACAGAAGTGCAGTGAATCATTTATCAAGTTGCTTCGGTTCCACAAAGGTAGCCAGGGAATGAATTGTATTTCAACACAGGCAGCTTTAAGAAATCAAGCAACAGCTTTCAGACAAGAGTGATAAAATATTATTAGGTCGATAACTTGATGCCACTATTATCGAAATTATCTAGTTTTAGCAGAACTGGCTCAAGAAATTTTTGAGTCTAAGGTAAAGTACAAGATGGTGTCCATTCCTTACAAGGAAGCTGAGTAGATCAACAGTTGAATCTTGCTGCACTGGCAATGGGACAGTGTCATCCACTATACTTGGGAAAAGAATAATGTAGAGCACGCTACTCTTTCCTTGAGAGACTGCAGGGGAGGGTCCTGCTCTGTGGAGAGCAAGGGGAAGTCCTGTTCTGTGAGCTGAAGTCTGTTGAATTTAACTGTATGCATTATAAGTCATTTATTATTTTTCTATAGTCCAGTCCAAAGGTATAAGCTTCAGAGACTGGTACTTGACCAGTGAAAGAGATTCCTCCTCAAACCTGTAGAAACTTAACACAAAGTGTCCTCTTCCAAATCTAACTCAGGAACAAACAGAGAAGGGAAGCATCCTGAGATAGACAGCAGTCACCTTTTCATGGGCAGTTTGTTTCCGATTCTTCCACAGGGGCCTTTGAGTATTCTTTGAGCCCATGAGGTCTCTTTTGGACTGCCTGTGTTATCAGTTGAGGTCATTTATATCTGGGAAAGAAAAATTTAGAAGAATCCTTTCTTTTGACTATGAAACTGCAAACCTGCAGAGAAGATTCTAGACATAAGAGTTTCTTCATATTCCCCAAAAACATGGGAGTTTAGACATTGTCTAGGACAGCCTTTCCTAATGTGGACCCTCCAGATATTTTGAACTATCATTCCCATCCACCCTGGCCAGCATGGCCAGCAGTCAGAGACTGTGAGAACTGTATTTCAAAATACCTGGAGATCACCAGTTTAAGAGAAGATTGATCTGGACTGCACAGGCCAAAATCTGGAATTGTTATTGACAATTATAACATTTTCTATTTCACTTTATTTTGTATATTGTTTCAGCCCAGAAGATGGTGAGATTCATCCTGAAATCTGTAGGCTATATATCCAGTTGCAGTGTTGCTTAGAAATGTATACAACAGAGATGCTAAAATCTATATGCCTGCTAGGATCACTTCAGTTTCATCGGAAAGGTATGCACTTATATCATAAATCCTCTTGAAATTGTTTTATTCACTTCAATTGTCGTTGGCTATCTGTGAAGCAGGACTTTCACCACAAACACTTCATCTATTAGTTTCCAAGCCATCTGTCAATAGGATGCCATAGAATTCTTACGCCTCAATCTGGATTCCTGTTTCCAGTTTAGTGTGCACTGGGAACTTATTTATTTATTTATTTATTTATTTATTTGATTTCTAACCCACTCCATTAGCCATATGGCTCCCTGGGTGATTACAACAACAAAATACAACATAAAAGACAGACGTGCTTAGCCTGCCTTGCTGGAAACCGGTGAAATTATGCATACAAAGAAATGTGTATATGGATCAAATGTTTACAGTGGCATTAGAAGAAATCTATATATTTATTGCATCTAGGTCTTTGCAAGATACAAATTAGATAAGCAATATAAAATTATTGAGAACTATCTTTAAAACAGTGTGCTTTTGTTTTACTACATTTATATCTCATCTTTCCTCCAAGGAGTTCAAGGCATTATATCTCCCCCACCCCCTGCACCCCGCCCCAGGCAATGATATTATTTCGTTCCCCTTTTTTATCTCCTTCATATGAACAGGAATTTGGAACTAATATTTCCTCATCTAGAATAGCATTCTGTCCATTCACCTGTAATCAGTAAAGTGAAAAGAGATGTAGCAGTTCCTGTCCTAATCATTGTTCTTCTGCAGTTCTACCTTTTAAGCCCCTGCTGGATCCTGTAAATCAAAATAGCATTCAATACATAAGAGGCATTAGCAGTCAGAGCCAGTCAGTATTTAATCTGCACAGGTTGCTTTGCTTTCCAACAGGTGTGCTTACCTCCTTGGTATTACAAGCTGGCTATGCAATTCCTGGCACTCAACTGCAGAATCTGAATGAGGCCAGCATTTACGAAGTCATGGATCTTCAGACATTACATACACAACCTCCTCTCTCTGTGGACCATGTAGTTGTACCCTAGAGTATTTCTCTGCTTTGCTTTCTAACTCTTGCAATCATGGAAATCCATATATTTTAGAGGGATTGTGGTACATCCTGTTACTTGTAGGAAGGGGGACTGGTACAATCTACTCCTGTTAAGGGAACTTGAAACAATGGAATGTTCACCTTGAACAAATGCCTCTGCTTTTAAAGGGTTTATGTTCCCCTTTGAAATGTACCATGCAGAGGAACATTAAGTTTGATTAAAAGAACATTCTTCCCATTCTGCAGCTTTCAGAATTCCTGTCCATTAGCTATACAGGCTTATAGCAGCTGAAGTCCAAAGCATCTTAAGGACACCAGCTCTGAGAATATTCTTCTACTCTATGTAGCAGTCACTGAAGCCAGTTTTGCAACCATTTGTACTCCCTTCAAAGCCATGGATATCTCATTAACAATCTTGAAAAGGAAGCTCTGCAAACAATCTCTGGCATTATTAACTAGTTGGTAGGCCTGGAAGTTTGTCCTGCATGAGCATTGATTCCCACCTCCTGCAGTGTTGGAGGCTGGAGTTCACCCCTAGGGTGAGGAAGAAGTAGCATCCAGTTTTTTTCTCTCTAGCCTTCTGGCACAGTCTTGGGGAGCCATGTGCCTGTTGCCTTTCTGCTCTACTCATGAGCCACTAAGTAATAATAGACTGCAGTAGGTAGGTCCTCCAGATGTTCTTGGGTTGCAGTTCTCATCATCCCTAGCCAACATAGCCAATGGTGAGGATGATGGGAGTTGCAGTCCGACAGCATCTGAAAGGCCACAAGCTGCCTGCCCACCCCTGAGGCATTGCAGTTCCCTTCAGTGAGCTATTAGTCTAGCTCAGCTTTTCTTTAATGTATGTTTCTAGAAAAGTATTTGACATGCTTTTACTCTGTTCTTCAGTTAGAAAGGCTCCTGGAACAATTTACAGGCCAATATGAAAACAAAACAGTCTGTGACTTTAAGCTTGTTGACCCGTTACCACCAAAGGAAAGAAAGATGGGGAAGGAGAAGTGGGGGGGGGGGATTCAGTACTTTTATTTTAAAATACCCATGAGGCAGTACTTTACCTACTTCATGCAAATCTAGAGCAACTCTGTAGGAACAAAGCCTAGATTTCTCTGTTGCTTTTTATGTCATTTTGCAAAGTTCAGTTTGCTGTCCAAGTTCACCTCCTCCTGCAGGGAGCTGACCTACAAGAGGAAAGCTCATCTGGTATGGGGCAGTAAACATCTCAGAGCAAAAATAGCTCCTCCACAGAAAGGCATTGAGCTATTTTTGTTCCAGATGTGTCCTTCTCTTGCAAGGATGAAGCTTTCCTCCCACAGTATAATTGAACAGAACCAAAACTTTTGGAAGTTGACTCTCTTTCTGAGTGCCTTATTCTACTAGTGGGGGTGGGGGCTTTTTGAAAGGATAGCTAAGCCAGACAAGAAAGTTTTTCTATTTATCTGTTGCTTGTTAATTCATACTAGCAAGCAGTACTAGGAAATATAATGCATTTTACCTATTTTAGGGTTGTTATTTATAAAACGTGTTCGAAGTGTAGAACACTTAATGAACAAAAGCACTTTTCATTTTTTATAATCCTGCAATAACCTTTCCCTTTTCCTTTCCGTATGCAATAGATTACTGTTCTTTTATCCTATAAAGTTCTGATAGCAGCTATAGAGCATTATGAATTGGGATGTCTTATTTAGTTTTAAATGTTTGCTTCATGGAAACTTTGGGCCTGCATGCAAAATGGGTTTTCTTCACACGGTCACATTCTTTTCTTTCAATTACTCATTTTTGGTGGCTTCCTAACCTTTACACAGGCTTATCCCATTCTTAAGTGAGCACCAGCAGTACTGACTTTCTGGTAGCTGAAACCAATGTAACATCAATAATGCTCACTAACGCATTGAGTTTCCCTGGAAACCTTGTGCACTGACAAGCATTATTGTCGTTGTGCATACATTTGTTTCCACTGGTACACCGGTAGTACTAGCACATGGGCAATGTTGGATCCATTCCCATTTGTTGTTGTAATATACTGTCAGGTTATCTCCAGCTTATGGATACCTGTGCCCCCCAAAATGTCCTGTCCTTGACAAGTCTGCTTAACTTCTGTAAATATCCTTTTCTTTATTTTCATACAATTTTCATGAACATGCTGAATGTCTATAGCTAGTCAATGGACATATTAACTAGATGATAGTATTAATCATCTTTACTCAGATGCAAATCTCATTGATTCCAATGTATGTTTAGCAGTTGCAGCCATAATTCTGTAGTAGTCTTATTCCATTTATTTACTTATTTCAAAGTTTAATATAGCACCTTTCAGGCAAAGCCCTCCTGTGGAGATTTATGAAAGGTAATCAGTGGCCCAAGTTAACTCCTCAGTCCATAGGGAAAAATGCTCTGCAGGACTGTCAGCTGAAATTGCAGGAAGCATCCCCATCCATATCAATCAATCTTTAGTAGCAGATAATTCAAATTGTTTCCTCACGTTCCTGAAGAGGTCAGAAGCATGAAGGCCAAATCTAATCAGGCAACAGAGTTAGTGATGCAGTTTGCATGTAATCAACAACCCATAATAACAAACCATACCAGAAGGAGATGTGTTGTTGGATCCTGCCCATGCACCCATTTCCCATTTTAATTAAAAAAACACAAGGGCACCCCATCCTTGGGTTGCTTATAGCAATAGCCAAACCCAAAACTCAGATTTTCTGGATGAACAAGCCAGCATTCTGTGTTCAGACATCACAATAAACAATCCAGCACACCCCTAACTTGAATGTTGCAGCAAGAGCACAGGTAGTTTACCCTTGGAAGTGTTAGTATGAGCCTGTTCCCTTTGACATTACAACCACAAGCTCTCCCTCCATACCATAATTTATTATTATTTTAGAGAACGTGTTCTCCACTAATACTGGCAATTAAACAATTGTCAAGGGCAACAAATTATCCCTGCAGTCTTTGGGAGCCTGTTTCTTTAATGTTACCCATTTATTTTTGGGCTATGCACTCTTGCTTTCCTGCATTAAAACACCCACTCACCAGTGATCTAACAGCTTTCCCATAGTGCTTATATGCTGTTTTTCTGTCAGGGTGCTTTACAAATTTTAATATAATTAAACAACTGTTACAAGATATAGAATGGAGTCCCCTCAGGCCAACTAATGATGCTACAGCATTGGAAGCTGCCTTATGTGGAGTCAGAAACCTGGTCCCTCTATTCCAGTATTGTTGGCAATTAGTTCTCAAAGTGTCAGGCAGAAATTTTTCCACCCCTGGAAAAACATGGAGAGGGCCTTCTCAGTGGTGGCCTCCCAGTTACAGAAAGGTCTCTCCACTAAGGCCTGCCTGGCTGCACCAGTGTCATCTTTTCAGCACCAGGTGAAGATTGCCCTCTACTCCCAGGCATTTAATTGTGTACGGCAAGACATATCAGTTGCAAGTGTGACTTTGAGTGCTCAAAGTTGCAAGTGTGACTTTTGAGCCAGTGGGGAAAGGGAACATTCCAGGAGAGCAAGGAGGGAACGAGTGAGACTCGACAGGGCTCTAGGAATCCCAGTGGTGCCTCCGCCTTCCTCCTCATGAGCAGGAGCAAAAGGCATAGATGGCCAAAATCAGCTGCCTGTGCCTTTTTGCTGGGCTGGGCTTCCCTCCATTCTCTCCCCACCCTGATTTGATGCCCATAATTGTCTTGAGGTCAGAGGGCATAGGTCAGGGTTCAATAAGCGGTCACATGCTGGATGGCAGCTAAATTTGGTTTCAAATGCCATATATTGAAATTTAATGCTGTATTTAATGCTGCATTTTTATTATTGTGTCTGTTATGAATTGCTGTGAAACGTCCAGAGGGCGTTGGCTGTTGGGTGGTATAAAAACGAAATACCTTTTCAATAATAATAAGCCGGAAATTGCACTGGGACTTTCTGCATAGAGCAAGTAGTCTGCCACAGAGCTGCAGCTTTCCCCATGGCCCCTTCAGGAGCTGATGGCACACCCTCCCTCCCTTAACATGCACGGCCAAACATGTCTTTTCCAAAGGAAATGGAAAGCAGCTAATAGGAAATATAGCAATAAAACAATAACAAAACAACAACCGGTATAACAATGTTTTGAACAAAATCACAATTCAATAGCTTTACCAAGTGCATACGTATACAATACTAAGGACACAATCCTATGAATGTTTAGACAATAAAAGAGCCCTGCAACTCCCAGCATCCTCCAGCTAGCATGGCAATAAACGTATCAAAATTAAGCTCAATATTACCATTTCATTTTTAAATCACAAACTTAACTTCCCTTCAGTGGGGCTTTTCTTCTATACCAAGGCTCCCTCCAACTCAGTCATATACACACAGACATATCTTCAGTAACCATCATGAAAGCCTAAGCAGCTCTGAAGCCAGCTTCCTTCTGATTCTCTGCATAGCCCCTTAAACATACAGAGTTATATCCAGTTTTAATCTAATTTAACTCCCATTCATTTCTGCTAGTCTGTTCCACATAAGATTAATACGGCCCATGTTCAGCAACCTCTGCAAAAAAATGGTTTGGTCCAACAATTCAGATATACACCTGTGATATTCCTTCATTCTTAAGTTGCTACCCTATGCTTGTTTTTAAATAGAAGAAAGTAATGGTGGAAAAAATGTGACAATTGAGCCTAAAGATCAAGAAGTAAAACAGCCACCCAGAAATCTTGGGGTACTTTTAGACAGCTTGTTGTTAGCCATGCCCTGTAATGAATATAGGCCATTTATGAGGCCTTGGCTCTCTGTACACAGATGCCACTTCATAACCATTTGTCTTGGGCTGGGCTGCTGCACTGGAAAATGTGGAACAGCCGCCTGGAGGCAATCAAGTGCTTCTCAAGTGGAAATCGCTGACAGACAGCTGAATGCCAGAATGTATTGCTTTATGTTCATTGCGGGTGTGCGACTGGCATTGATGCTGTCTGAAAGGATTCATTGCTTTGCAACTGTGCACTCAGCTGTCCCATCTTTAAACACATTTGCAATATTAATTCAGTTAGAAGGGGACTTTAGCAAGGGATCCCTCTAAACTATCCATTTAAGTTTCCCCCCCCCCCCCCCCCCCCCGGTCCTTCCTTCCTCCCTGAAGCTGGAGGAAATGCCACTTTCCACTTTACTCTTTTTGACTCAGGCTATTTGTGCTAATATGTATGAGTTGCCTTGTGTATTAGAAGAATTCTTTGCAAAGCACAGCGTTTTGCTTAAATGAGCCTGCAAAAATCAATGCATGACATGCTTCAAGAAATATAATCAAACAGGTACATTAAATAAGAAAAGAAAGAAATCACCCATTTGAAGAAATGGTGTGTGTACATTGTTGAAACTCTGCAACAGTGCTTCTCTGATGGAAATTCAAAACCATCTAGATATGGTACATTGAGGATACGCCAAATTAAAGTCAATGTTACACTGAATAGTACAGAAACCTCACAAATGGAACTCTAGGCAGATTGGTTATTTTACAGTTTGTGTGCTGCATAAAAAAGCAAATCTTGGCACAGTACATGCATGTTTGCAATTGTTTCATAATTGAGATAAACAAGAAATTGATTTAAACAGGGTAGTTTTTCTCTTTAATTTGAGCCAAGTAGACATGGAAAGAATTGACTGGTCTGATTTTGTTGCTCTATTTCAAAATGTGCAGGTGCTGAATGGAATAAAGGCTAAATGGATAGCAGGGAACTTGAGGTGTTGAAGGGGAGATGTTTAAATGTATCTATCTGCTTTCATAGAAATATAGACCCTGAATATGGCTTTAATGTCACTAAAATTGTGTAGAGATAGTGAAAATCGCTTTCTGTACACGTTGGCCTTTTACTTTCTTTAATTAGAAAAATGTGGAATTGGTTTTCCTGTTTGAAAATAAAATTTGATGAAATTTGAAGTCACCTCTGCAGGATAGGATTGTGAAGTCATTCAGATAAGCACTAGAATTAAAAGTGTAGTTACTTGGACTTTATTATATGGGGACCCTTTTATTAGGCTTCTTAGTTACATGAAACATGAGATAGAAAATTGCCTTGTGGGAACTAGTCCACATGAAAGGGTTTAATGTTTTAAAGATGCAGCTTATCCCACTTCTTTTCCTAAATGGTTCCCCGGGTTTATATATGTATTGATGATTTTGTTTTTATGCATCTGATTGTCACTATTGGTATGTGTTTTTAAAGTAGTTAATCATATTTTAAAAGATTGATTATAGTTATATCCCCACCATTTTTCCTTCAAGGAACTCAAGGTAACTCATAAAATTCTCCTCCTCCTCACAATCTTATCCTCACAACAACCCTGTGAGGTACGTTGGGCTGAGAGTCTGTGGCTAATGGGGGACTAGAACCCAGCTTTCCTGAGCCCCAGTTCCATGCTATTAGCCACTATACCACACTAAGAAATAATGAAACAAAATGGCAGAATGATGATGCAAAAAGCTTGTACAATATAGCTCTTGCATGGAGGACCAGGTACAAAAAATAATTGAAATACTCATTCCAAATGCTGAGGGATAAGTACCAGGTTGTGTTAGTGAATAAATGGCTGCATGAATGAATAGCGGATGGGTAATGCTGGAAGTTGCAAGACTTCTTCTTTTTGTTTACTAAACATGTCAGATTGTGCCCTAAATAAAACAGAATTCAGATGTGCACATAGCCCTGGAGGTGTTGTGAGTCTTTAGAGCCAGAAAGAAGGCTGAATCCTAAGTGTCCCAGTGACCAGAGATGGAGGGGTGGGGGGAGTTCAAATATTCAGTAACCTGCATGCCTTACTATTTGCCTACAAGGCTCTTTTAAAAACCCCGCCCCCCCCCAAAAGGACAAACACTAAAAATATGCAAACCTATGCAAATTTCTGTTGTTTCTTCAGGGCACATAATTCGACTTTCAAAAGAGATGATTTTCAATTTTTTTACTTATATATTTAGCTCAGAGTACATGCACATGGAAGTCAAGCCAGGATTTCTAGAGTGGCAGATGTTGGTTGGAGCTGTGTGGGAGATGTGGATATCAATAGTTGATGATCAGACAGTGCTCTGTTTGTTTTTGGATGTGTCAAAGGGACAGAGACTTCTGCAGCACCCAAGATCACAGACAGTAAAACAGAAGAGAGTTCAGAAGTTCCTATTTTAGAAGAGTCATTATCTTCACCAATAGACATTCAGCAACATTTATGCCAGGTTTCCACGGATATTGAAAACACTGAACGGTATGTGCCTTATTTAGTATTCATGATTTGATGGCCTTAAACTTCTAGTGAAGTTGAGGCATATGGAAGTGAGCTTTTATCTGTGCATCCCTTGTTCAATGAGTTAATGCCTTTGTTTTGTTGTGCACAACACACATGTGGACATGTGCATGCACTCACACACATCACTGAGTCCCCAAAACAGGCAGTTGCCACTGTTAAAATTTAATATGTTAACAAGGAACAAACATTTTAACAAATATTTATTATGTTAGTATTTAGAATACTGTAGTTAGCTTTATGGTTGGGGCAAGGACATCCATAATCAACAGCTGCTTTCACATCCATTAATGACATAACCTTGAACTTCATTTTCGTTAATAGCTGCAGTCAGGGTAATGACAACTGACAGTGTGGGAATACCAGTGATACTGAACCACTGTCAAATTGACCATATATTTATAAATGGATATTGCAGCTTCATTTGTTGCCAGGAGTAGAATAACTGAGTTACCACTTTCAGCCTTTTAAATTTTCTGCCATTTCACTCATCATACAGCAACAAACTCAAGGAGCACACCTCAACAAGTTCCTGAAACCAGGGCTGTCTCTGATGTGGATCTGGTAGTTCATAGATGTGGTGAACACTTCCAAGCTGGTCTACACTGCACGCATGCACGTGTGTGCGCACGCACACACGCAGAGAGAGAGCAATCGTGTGCAATAGAGAAAAAGCCTATAGCTCTCACCTGTGCTACCTGTGGTGTGCTGCAACTTGAATGTCTTTTTTTCTAACTAAACTGGCATAGAATTTTATGTTTAGCTATCTAAAAATAGTACTGTATGAGATGGTCTTATTTTGTTAATTCATAAATCACTTCCAAATACTTACTTTATTTATTTATTTGCTTGCTTGCTTGCTTGATAGTTCAATGTAGATCTCATTGATCTCTAAATGTTTACTGTTGGTTTACAAAATAAACAATTTTCAATAAAATGTTGATTAAAATTCACAAGTATAATTTGGAATAAAAATCTTTAAAATCTACATTAACATTCTAAAAACAGCCTGAAAACAAAATAAAAATGGAACTCTCAAAGTCTTGCTGGAATAAAAGTAACCAGCAGTGAGGGCAGACACCTTCCTTTGGAAGTCCTTCTAGATCGTTGGTGCCACAGCTGAAAAGTCCTGTAATAGAGACCTACAATGGAGAGTTACTTACTGGTCTCAAACCCAAGCAGTTGTGACTGTGCTAAAGCGGTCCTTGATTCAATAAAGAGGAGACTATCAGGTTTCCAAGGAAAGCTCCTTTCAAAGAGACTGAACATCAGATCTGGGTTTTAAACACTATGCATGTAGCATTTATGATATAAAGAATACAGAAGTATAAGAATACAAGTTCAACAATCATCAGCAACAATATCAAGAGGCCTCATTCACACTCGCATTCATACAACACTCCTACTCACAGCCAATAGACCCTTTCGATGATCCATCGGGACTGTGGGTGACCAGTAGCAGCGCTGTTCTGACACACACGGGAGCTGGAAAGCCCAGTCATCTTATACCTTTGAGTTGATGCTATCAGCTTAGTCCAACTGGATCGAACAGTGAACTCCTCTGAGCAGAGCTGACACAGAACATGCTGGTCTTTATCTTGAACACATGCACTCTCGTCACATTCCATTGTCTCTCTGGACGGTACAGTGTGGGCTTATCTGTTATGTTCCATTCTCCAACCACTCCTGGCCTCTCAGTTTGCTCAGTCTGGTCAGTCCCATCATGCTTTTTCATTCTTCATTTTCTTCTGGGTCTTGGGCCTTCAGGAACCCATGCACACTGTGACACAGCCAAAGAGTTGGTTAGCTAATACTGGTTCCAGTTAATCAATGCTTGCTGTGTGGGTGCCATTAGAAACTGGATCAACATTACTGACTTCTATCAAACTTGGGACTCTTTTTATTATTGGCTAGAGAAATGGGACTTCACATAGATTTAAATATGTTTTTAAGTTATCATAAATGGAAAAAGAAGGATGTGGGGGCTGACCCAGCGGGCTCGATGTTTTTGATGATGGATGTTGTTTGTAGTTTTCTTTTTGTTTTTTAGGATTATAATTTCAAATAAAACTTATTCAAAAAAAGAAGAAACTGGATCAACATTCAGAAGGATGCTGAGCAACTTTAAAATACTTGTTGGATATGAATTGACTGAATAGATATCATTAACCTTGGAAATTTCTACAGTTCCTCCTTCAACTGATAATCTTATATTAACCTAATATAAAGAGACTTATGGTAGCACTAATCAGTAGAAATCACTTCTTCATTAAATGTATGCAAAACCTGTCAATGTTCCATTTTTTATTTTTAAAAAATCTATTTTTCCCTGCATAGTAATATTCTTGTAAGCCAAATGCAGGATAGGGTTTTATCTAAGCTCAAGTAACGTCTGTTCTGTTTGATCAGTTCTTTGCTTCATTTCTACAGGGATATGAGAGAAATGAAAAACCTTTTAAGCAAACTCAGGGAGTCAATGCCTTTGCCATTGAAAAATCAAGGTAGGCTTTTCTTTTATGAATGCGGTAATTGATATTTTAATGTTCAGGCTTAGCTTCTTTTAATAATGGTAAATTCATTCCTCATTCATTAAATCTGAAAACACAATGTTCAGTGTCTTTAAACTTATTCAACAATGAAACAACTCCACACATGCTCCCTCGTTATCTCTTATTCCTTGAATGGACCAAGAATACTGTAGTTATGTGCTACCTTTTGTTCGTTCATTCTCCTTAAAGTCCACATTTTCTGAGAACCTCAGGGAGAAGGATCCTGTGGACCCCAGTGTCTAAGGGACCACCGGATTGTTCATATTCCCAGCACCAAGGTTGAAGATCATGGTCCACACTCGGAGCTGGGAATCAGATTTCTGTCCCACTGCATGTAGATCCTCTCTGAGGTTGTGAAAGTGACCTCGAAGAGGAGTTAAAGGGGATGTTGCAGGGAGAAGGGAACAACTGGAAAGGACAAGGTACAAGCTAGCCTGAAGCCTCCCCTTTCCCCACCTTAACACATAACTAGCCAGATGGGCAAAAATGTGTCTAGCAAAAAAAAATGCAGAGTGAAAGAAGAAAGAGGTGAAGATCACCTCTCCTGCTTCTCCCATTCTGCATTGGATGTGCTTGCATTTAAAGTTTATGCATCTCAATGAGATTGTGTCCTTAATCCCTTATCCCATATGGAATAAAGAATAAGATTATATACCCCATCCTCTTCTAGCTCCCCAGCATGGTCTCCCTACTATGAAACTTAAAATGCATGCTTCTTAGACCTGTCATTTTTTTCATGTTATACTGTATAGCTGATGAGGCAACATAAATGATATTAATAAGGGGGGTTACTAGATTTTGATATCTTAAGTTGACTACATTTATTTTTGCTTTATGTTTTTATATACTCAGGCTACAAAAGTAGAGTTGGGTAATAAGCACAATAATGATAATCACAATCATAATAAACATAAAGAATTGGGTACTGCTGTATTGGTATAGGCCACAACACCTGAGCAGTGTGACTAGAGAAACTGCTTCTTTTCAGAAACACTTAACTCTTGTGCTGCTTTCATTCATTTCAATGGATTTGCACAGGATAGCTTCCCAGTTAATTGTGCATATGGATCAGATTTGTTGGCATGCCCCCCCTCCCGTTTGCTCTAACGTATCTGCCTCACTTTGCCTAAAAGGCAACACAAACAGATGTCCCTAAGAATGGATGCCTGGCTACTACTCAGCCTAATTCTAACCTTTTTTTTTTAACCACAGATGATAGCAGCCTGCTAAACTTGACTCCTTATCCATTAGTTCGAAGACGGAAGCGGAGATTCTTTGGACTGTGCTGTCTCATTTCCAGCTAGATGACCAGGATAGAAGTGCACAAATGACCACAGCCAATACAATTTGACCTTTATTGGGATAAACCTAAATGCTCCAATCGATCATGTGTGTTTTCTACACAGCCCTAATTATATTTCTTCCCTCCTTTTCAAGAGTTTTACAGATTGTTGCTGACAATAACCAAATCCAGAAACTAATTTAACATTATTAAAGATGTTTTTAAACTTTTTTAATGGCATACAGCATGTCTACTTTAAACCATTCTGTGATAAAATGCAAATATTATAATTATTAAATAAAACATGCAGAGTTTTTAATTTAGTGTACAAATCACAATCAATTGTGTACAGTAAAATAGTATGACTGTAGCTCTTGCTAGTATGATGTTAAACTATTTGAACATATTCTATTAAGCAATCTTAATCCATAGAAATCTATTTAGAACTGCAAAACTGTACTTAAGTTCTAAAATGCTAAAATAAACAGAGCCAATATTGTAAGGGAACATGCACAAACTCTCCTATTGCTTTTTGTGCTCTCATTCATATTTAGTCTTCCACTCTATATCTCAACTTATCCAAGATCTTCATAGTACAATATCTTAATTTCTAATACACAAGCAAAATAACACTGATATGTTGTTCCTGTAAAAATGAGATAGTTATATCTACATATTGTATAATGCATAGAAATAGCAAATTACTTTTTAAACCCCACCCCCATCCCATGTATCTATTTCAACTTTGGGAAGAAAGGACTAACCGTTTAAAAGAGGGTGTAGGAAACTATAAAACCCACATATGTAAAGCAGATTATCCCATTTTGTTTCCATTAAAGGTTGAAGCATGGTGTCTGAACATCAAACTAAATGTTACTGCTTATAGGGCATGCCAGAAGTAGCTCTAATTGTAAATTATTAAACATTTTACATTGTTAATAAATATTTTTTAGTTAAACGAAAACATGTCTTTTTGGTAATAATTGTACTGCTACATATTGGTTTTCCCCTTGTTTCCTAGCTCCTCTTGTATGACTGCACAATTTCAGAAAAATTATAAATGGTTTGTGACCTAGTTACCTCCTTGCTTCCCTTCACCAACAGAAACCAGAGAAATAAGGAAACTGTTGCCACTGTTCCCCTGCTCTGTATCCCTCCCTGTGCTACAAGCTGCCCCCTTACACTTGGGTTTGTAGTTGTTGGGTGGATATCTAGTATCTCTGGCCTCTTCCTGAACATCAGGCTTAGGCTGGAGAAGGAGAGGCAGAAAGAATGTGAAGAATCAGACCGATAGATTAGATATTACTTAATGGCCTCAGACTGATATAAATCTACACTGGCAAGTCTATGTCTGCTTTAGTGGCATGAGTTAGATACACAGAGAGAAGCTTCCTCCTCATTCCAGTCCTATGGAGTACTTACTTAATCTTCTGACATCCTAAGAAAAGGTTATGTGTTAACGGCCAGTGCAAAAAAGGTACCTCTGTGGCATTAACTCTTACAAGTTCTTCATTATCTGAGACTGAAGAGCAAGGATGTATTTGCAGGCTCCTCCCCATCACATTTTGGTGTCACCATTGAAGCTGAAATTCTGCAGCAAGAGAACTACATCTCTGGGTGAGCAGGGTTCTAATTTGTGCAGGGTCCCTCCGCTTGCACAGTAGGCTCCAAGTTGCACACATTCCCCTCACGAGACAGGTGTGCCAGGTCTCTGGAAACACAGGACTGGCAAGCACATCCCCATTTTCCACCCCCACACAGAGAGGAACATGTGAAGCTTGAATGCCCTAAATAATGCGTGTGAGCCAAGTGGAATGGCACCATTTTTGTTTGGGCTGGGGATAGTGTACTGTATTTCAGTTAATATATTTTTATTCTGCCCTTCTTCCAGTATGGCAAACTGTTTAAGAACACAATGTAATGCAGGTTTACGCCAAAGTAACTTCAACATTCGATGGAGCTTACTTCCTAGTATGTGTGTTTAGGATTGGAGCCTTCAAGGTCCTTAGAAGTGTACCAGTCCTTAGTGCAATAGTGCGTTGGCACATTGATCCACAGTGCTTAGAGGAAGGCAGCAGTGGTCAAGATCCTTAAAGCAAATCTGTCACATTTCTTCTCTGTCTGCTCCACACAGTGATTTTGCAGACAAATGCTGCTACCCTGAGGCAGCAGTGGGAGGTACAACCAGCTGGCTCACAATCAATGCACTGGAGAGAAGAGGTGATGCCAATGGCAGCTTCTCTCCGGTGTCAAACAGTAGCTTTACTGAGATTTTTTGTCAGGATTGCAGCACAGGAAAATTGGGGTTAATCCCTTTCCCCTCAAGCTACACCTTGCTATTTGAAAAGAAAAAAGGGAAAAAATACCCAAAGGGAAAATGTTAAACTGTATGTTTAATGTAACATGCAGTTTGGCTCATTTTTCTACCCACAAATTTTTCCATACAATGAAAGGGCAATCCTTTTACTGCAAAAATTGCAGCACAAGCTGGAACGGAAATGTGTTACATCAATGAAATGAATGCACATTATTCAGGGAGCAAGTAGAAATGACATACAACAAGTCTACAGAAGTAGCAGAAAATCTTCCTGATTCTTTTTATGCTGAATGAATGGCTCTCAATATGATTTCTGATGAGAGGAAATTACTCAGAAGGCTGATGGGAAGAGAAATTTCTTTCAACTATCTTATTCAAAATTGGAATGTATGGTAGATAAATCTAAACTAATTGTAAAAAATTGTCCTATACAACTATTCTCACTTAAGAGAATAATACTAGAAAAATCTATGTAACAAAAGACTTAAGCTTGTCATTTTTCTGTATTCTCCAACTGGAAATTTTGGGCCTCCAGTTACTGTTGGACTACAGTATCAATCTTTAGCATTGACCATGCTGGCACTGACTGGAATGCATTTCAACATCTGGAGGGCCACAGGTTCCCCATTCTTGGGCTAGAGGTTACACTAAGCCTGCAGAGACCAGTTCACATTTCCATATAGCAATGAAACTCACAAGATAACACTGTGTCATGAGTATTCTCCTATAATATATGTATATATAGAATGCCTTTAACCTTAAATCCCCCTCTCTTTCTCTGAGTATGTAATGCTGCCACCAGGAATTTAATTCCAGTCTTATTAATTAACTTCTCCCACAGTATTGTGCCCAAGCTATAAGGCTCCTTCTTCAGACTATATGATCCTGAGGATGACACAAACACCCTCATATTAATAAGCATATTGGTTTCAAAATGTTCAATAACTTATTTCTTTAGTAAATAAAAAAATGTATATTAATAACTTCTGAGATATTCTTATTCTTTCCCTTCACAATCCTCACTCTCAAATCCTCCTTTCTCACCTGAATGTATTTTGACTGGTCTTTACTCTATTTATCTCAGTTTAATAGTTCCCTTCTGCACTCAGTTTTGTGTCAGTTTTTATAACTCACACCCATGTAATACTTGACAATATAGGATTTGGACTCTCCGTGGTCACTAGTAAGTCCTCTTAAGTACCCTACTTTCTTCCCCTTGCTATTGAATCTTAAATGCTTTTCACAGCACCATCAAAGATTCTAAAGAGAAGGCTGCCTCTTCGGATTCTGCAGTCCACTGACTGATTCCAGCTGACTGTAACTGCACACAGACCGCACCTGACTGATGGAAAGTATCCATTTCTCTCTCCTCACACACTTCCACATTCTGCCAGCCACTTGCTCACCCACCTTTTACTCCCCTTGCTCTTCTGAAACTTACCAATGTTTAAAGCTACACACTCATAACACTTTAAATCATTATATATCCTCCGTCTGTCCTTAAGTGGAGCACATCTTTTTTTCCCCAAGAGTTACGTGCCACTTCCTCTGGCACAGGGAATATTTTATGGTCTCTCTGGGTTCAGGTAGAGTTTCTCACTCTTCTGATGCTTTTATTTTAAAGTCTTTGGTTCTTTTAACTCACAGACCTCCTTCGCGGGGTGTTGTCTTCCTCTCTGTGATGTTCCACTGTTGGGCTGAGGTCATCTCAGCTTTGGTCTTCTCAAAGCTAACAGCTGCAGGAAAAGACCATCTGGAGTAGGTGTCCGTCCTCTGGGAGTAAGTGAAGGGGGGGAAATAGTTTTTCTCAGGAGCCAGCAATCCCAGGGGACCAAAAGCACAAAGCATGTGGATATATATGTGTGTCCATTCAGCCCCTGTTCTGCCCTGAAATCTGTGTATGTGCAGTGATTCCACTGATGGTTCTGTAACCCTCATGAACACATGAGGAGGACCAGTGGAGGGGAGCAGCAATCACTTAGCAAGTGGGGCTGAAAGCTGCAGACTGGTTTAAAGAGCAGAGATGGGTTCTTCTCACCAGGATAGGCATTAGAAATTCATTTCCACACCTGTCCCCAAGGAGAGCCCTGAAGCAGGAAAGTGCTAGAAAAGGTAATGATAGCAAGTTCTTTTTCCCAGCCCTCCTTTTGCTAGTGTTGACAAAGACAAAGTCATTCCTACAAGAAGGATTATACCTCAGAAAACAACTTAGGCACCCACTAGTTTTAGCTAACTCCAGCTAGGAACATCTTGCCTCTTCCTGACTTCCAAAAATGCTCCTTCTGCACATACAATCATACCCCGAATAAACACCACTTTCAACATTCTGATGTTCTTCAAATAGACAAAAAAATCTCCACCTAACTAGAAAGCATCCCCCTTGTTGTAAACCATTAATCATTATGCCTAACGAAGGAAAGAATTTATCGTGCAATCTTATGCAAGCATACACTGAAAAAGGTCTTACATTTCCCAGCATGCCCCAGTTAGCCATGCTGTTGGGAGTTGTAGGACCTTTGTGTACGCTAAAAAGCATTATCAAAGGAACATCTCAACTGCAAATCTGTTGATAGGTTATCAGCAGAGATAACCAGGCACTAATCTGTATTCCCTTGGACTGCAAGGCAATCAAACCAGTCAGTCCTAGAGGAAATCAACCCTGACTGCTCTTTAGAAGGCCAGATAGTGATGAAACTCAAATACTTTGGCCACCTTATGAGAAGGAAGGACTCACTGGAGAAGAGCCTAATGCTGTGAACAATTGATAGGAAAAGAAGAAGGGGACGGCAGAGAATGAGGTGGCTAGATGGAGTCACTGAAGCAGTTGGCCTGAGCTTCAGTGGACTCCAGGGGGTGGTGGAGGACAGCAAGGCCTGGAGGAATGTTGTCCATGGGGTCCTGATGGGTCTGACACGACTTTGAGACTAACAACACCAACAACCTGTATTCTTTATTTAGGTTATGTCATTGGTGACAAGGCTTTGTTCTGAACTAAATATATTCTGAAGGTGAAATGAGATAATGTTATGCACCTCAGCATAATTACTAAAGCTTATTTCAGTGTGTTGTTTTTACCGCTGAATCATGCTTACCTTGCAGTGCATATGCAGACATCCAGAAGGGAAATAGCTGCATCCATTCGATCTGTTGGGGAATGAGCTAGAAAGGCCAGGATTCTCTAAAACGGGCATGGCGTGAAATAGCTGGTTTCAAAGGTATGGTCACTTGTGTCCCCAGCAAGCAAAAAAGCATGCACAACTTGGCACACGAGTAACCTGTAAGCAAGTTATAAGTTATTACTTAAATGGATTTTTCCTTTTGTAAATAGAGACCTGTCTATCTTTCAGGTTTTTATGACGGAATCCATATAAGATCCATTTCAGCATCACAGTCGAGATGAGCTGCCCACCCCCGACACACACTTCAGGGCTGGGCCAGGGTGGAGCGCAAGAGCGCCTGGGAAAAGGCTGGGGAGCCCCTGAGGAAGGCCGGGAAAGGGAGCAGCAGGAGCGCCCCTTCCTGCAGTCGCCGCCGCCGCCGCCTCCACGGGCTGTGGCCGCGGCACGCACCCTTCTCTCCC